TTAAGCGTCTGCCTTCGGCTCAGGTCATGATCCCAGGGTCCTGGGATCGAGCCCCACATTGGGCTCCCTGCTCCCTGCTTGGTGGGGAGCCTGCTTCTCCCTCTCCCTCTGCCCTTCCCCCTGCTTGTGTTCTCTCTCTCTCTGTCAAATAAGTAAAATCTTTATTTTTTTTTTAAGATCTTATTTATTTATTTATTTGACAGAGAGAGACAAGTGAGAGAAGGAACATAAGCAGGGGCAGTAGGAGAGGGAGAAAGCAGGCTTCCTGAGGAGCAGGGAGGCCGATGTGGGGCTCGATCCCAGGACCCTGGGATCATGACCTGAGCCGAAGGCAGACGCTTAATGACTGAGCCACCCAGGCGCCCCAATAAGTAAAATCTTTAAAAAAAATGTAAACTTGGGGTGCCTGGGTGGCTCAGTTGGTTAGGCGTCTGCCTTCAGCTCAGGTCATTATCCTGGAGTCCCAGGATTGAGCCCCGTATCAAGGTCCCTGCTCAGCGGTGAGTCTGTTTCTCCCTCTGCCCCTCACCCCACTCGTGCTTGCTCTCTCTCTCTCTCTCACTCAAATAAATAAATAAACATAAGGGGTGGCTGGGTGACTCAGTCATTAAGCGTCTGCCTTCGGCTCAGGTCATGATCCCAGGATCCTGGGATTGAGCCCCGCATCGGGCTCGCTGCTCCCTGGGAAGCCTGCTTCTCCCTCTGCCGCTCCCCCTGCTTGTGTTCCCTCTCTTGCTGTGTCTCTTTCTGTCAAATAAATAAAATCTTTTTAAAAAAATAAACATAAAAATAAATAAATGTAAACTTGTAACTGTGACATTGTTGCAAAGAAGCTAACAGCCTCTTACAGTGGAAGTTGACGTCATCAGGGAAGTCAAGGTTTCCTTGAGGAAGTGATAACTGAGCAGAGATTTGAAAAGTAGGTATTATGTAGGCAAAGAGAAGAGGGAACTGCATTTCAAGAAGAGGAAACAGCATATGCAAATGTTCTGAAACAGGTGGGAGCCAAGCAAGGAGGGACAGTAACAGGGCAAGGGCATCAGTTCTTAAGACATTGTCTCTCGGCTCCAAACCCAAGCTTCCACAGTCTGCAATACTACATTTCTGCTTTTCCAGCTGTTTCAGTATTTGCTTCTGCGATAGGGAGGGCTGGAGAGAGACGACAAGGCTGGAGGAAGAAAAAGTTTCTTGTGAACGTCATCCCAGCAACACGTCTTCACCCTGGCAGCTGCATTTCCTCCCCATAGCAGCCGCTCTACTCACTTTTCCCCAAGCCTGCAGCACTAGCCTCATCAAACCCTCCTCTCAGACAGGAGGACCAGCAGGAACCTCCACAGAGTCCTCCTGTAAGGTCAGAGACACTAGCACCTTGGAGTTAAGTTTCAACAACATGGGGCCCCTCTTTTAGATTTCTTAGTGACTCCAACCCCTTCCTTTTGTCCCCTTAGCCTGAGTGGCGAGAGCTGCTTCCTGCAGTTGCTACCTCTGTGAGACCTTAAAGTTCTCTTTTCACCCTTTCAAGTTACCTAGTTAAGCAGTTTAGACCTAGTTAACAATTTTTTAAAAGATTTTATTTATTTATTTTGAGAGAAAGAGCGGGAAGGGGGCGGGCAAAGGGAGAGACAGAATCTCAAGCAGACTCCCTACGGAGCACAGAGCCCAACATGGGGCTCCATCTCATGACCCTGAGATCATGACCTGAGCCAAAATCAAGAGTCGGATGCTTAACACACTGAGCCACCCAGGCGCCCCCTTACATTAATTTATCTCTATTCAAAACCTGGTGTGGTTTCTGCTTCCTGTGTGAACTTTGATTGACATAGCAAGTAACAAGGAATTATCAGTAGGATTATAAAAATAGATGAAGGCCATTCTCAAAGAGCCTTTTGTAACTGAGTTTGGACTTTATTCTGTAGGCCACAGGGAACTCAGAAGCCTGCTATGCAGAGAACTGCTATGGTTGGATGTGCATTCTAGAAGGATCACTCTGGAAGCAGTGTAACAGATGGATCTAAGAACTGGACTGCAGGTATGAGGAACAGACAGGTTGAGAGAAGATAAGAACAGAAACTGAAATGGAGCAAAATTGTTGAGCAGGGGGCACCTGCGTGGCTCAGCCGTTAAGCATCTGCCTTCGGCTCAGGTCATGATCCCAGGGTCCTGGGATCGAGCCCCACATCGGGCTCCCTGCTCGGCGGAAGGCCTTCTTCTCCTTCTCCCACTCCCCCTGCTTGTGTTCCCTCTCTCGCTGTGTCTCTCTGTGTCACATAAATAAAATCTTTAAAAAAAATTGTTGAGCAAAAGAAGAGGGCGAGATTCGAGAAATATTTAGGAGGTAAAGCCAGCAACACGTAGTGGCTGGTTGGATGGGGGTTGTGGGGAGGAAGGAGTCTAGAATGAAGCCTCAGTTTCTCCCTTTGGTACCTAGGTAGATAATACTGCCATAGCTGAAACTATGACTTCAGGAAGACAAACAGATGTGAAGAGGAAGACAATGAGTTTAGCTTTAGATACTGTGGAAAGTTTTGCTTATCTATTGCTATGTAATAAACAACCCCCAAACGTAATGACTTAACATAACAACCATTTTGTTATTTCTCATGATTCCGCAAGCTGGGCTGGGCTCAGCTGGACAGTTCTGCTGGTCTTGCTAATATTCACTTGTGTGACTATAACTAGGTGGGCTCGTCTAGGATGCTGGGACTGCTGTATTTCC